CAATTAAGTCTGCATTAATCACTACTCCGTGCCAATAAGACACCTTTGAGTGCTATTAGTAATCTTAAACAGCAAGACAGCCTCTTTTCTGGAGATGGGAAAAAAGCATCAGTTTAAGCTCAATTATATAAATATTGTACAATTATATTTATTTGTAAGAGCTTCCGTCTGCTCTCCGATAAACCGCTGCCAAAAAGGTCAGCTGAGGTTTAGCGAGGTATTTACGAGCAAAGGAATACGAATGCGAAGAAAAACTAGAGTGGAATAAATGAAAGCCTACTAAACACCAGGTTAAAAACTGCCTCTTTTCCTCTCGTGTGTCCCTCTTCTCATTACCTGTGTTTTTCTGTTAGTGCTCCAGTCACCAAACGAGGATGTTTCCAGGAGACAAGAAGCAAAAACGAAAAAAGAAGGCGTGGACTTGTAAAATTACGGTTTTAAAGCTCTTAATTAACCCGTAGAACTGCCAGCTCTGGCTTCTTTACGTCAGTGCGAGTTTCCGATCGAAGAAGGGCGGACGGCACCCTCACATCTAGGCTGACAAATACAGGTTCAGACATGCGCGCAGCTACGTGACGCACGGCGTATAGGGTTTTCAAGGAGCGGACAACAAGCTGGGAGGGGGGGCGGTGCGTTCAAGTGCAAATGTAAAACTCGAGATCATATTTCGGGAATCATAAATGCATGTCAAAACCGCGAACCAAAGCCCTACAAAGAAAATGAATTACTGTATAAATCAAAAATACGATGGATGAGCAACCTATGCTCTGACCAAGTGCTGAACAAAGGAATAAAATGAAAATAAATAAATAATGTATAATAATTCCAATGTAATTCCAATACAAAATAAAAGCATCAATACAATACAAGCCACAAATAAATACGAGTAAAACTAAAAACTAAAAAACAAAAACCTGAAATTAACACCTCAAACCGGGTCAATTTTTACAATTTAAAACTGATTCTTTCATTTCATCCCTTGATTTTCGTCTTTTTTATGCTGGAATGACACATAAGTGAGGGTTAAGTGGCTTAAGAAAAAACAAAACAAAGAGTCCTCTGACAGTGGTCGGAAAAATCAGCCAGCGTGCAAAGAAAAACTTCGAAAGGCCTCCAGAAAACTGGAAGAATTATTGCTCAAGACCAATTTAAAAAACTGCTCCGTGGAAGCAAAATATAAAGAAATGACTCAAGAATTGTTCACAGCACTGTAAGTTGTCCTTTGTGTATTTTTGGACAAGTATTGTTGAAAAAAAGGTACTCAATTTGCATGTAATAGGTATTGATAATGGAGCTTTATTTAAACATCTTCTTGAGGACGTTCTTGTTTTTTTAATGATATTTCTTAAATAATGTGAAACGAGGTTATGTTGAATCCAGGTCATTAGAAATGAACTGAAACTACACTGTTTATGAACATAAAATGATTCCGTTTTAAATTAATATTTTTATATTACTGACTAATTCGCTGAGTGTATTCAACATGTGAATAATCTGGACCTTGTTTTTTTCTTCCAGGAGGTAGAAGGGTGGAAAATCATACTTATATACTAATTATACTATACTATACTGATAGGAAAAGCATTTTGTACATTTCCAGACCATATTTGCTACAATATAATGCAATTTATTGATTAAGCCCCAGCAATGCCCCCAGTAATCATGTCTAATTTATTAGAAACTCGCCCCCACCACCCCATCTGCCTTTGTGGAGCACATTAGTTCTCTGTCATGCTTTTTTTTTATGCTGTATCGTATAACCATATTCTTACTGTAATGAAATGGATTTCCATTTGAACTCTTTAGAGCTCCTTTAATGGGAAGGCACAGGCAATTCCAGCATCTCTTCCTGTTAAGACCCCAAACACAGTACTGAGTTAAGAATACAACTGAAGCTCTTACTGTACTATCTCCATGTGACACGTATGGCAGTTCACTGGGATCGTTTTTTCACAACTGCTTTAGAGCCTTAAGACAAATGCAAATAGTTGCATCTGTAAATTAGATTACATCACATAAAGCAACTGAATTCTCTCTTTTGCATAAGGACAAAATCTTGCTTGGTGACTAATAATTATTTACTCTTATCAGACACTGTCAGATATTACTGGCCTTCATTTGAGCTCAAAGAAATCTCACTGAGATGCAGATCTGCAGATATTTAACTCTTTTAAAGTCTCTTGTAGTTCTTGACTTTCTGTTACTTGTGACCTCATGGTTCTCAGCAAAGTATCCATTATGTGCTCATCTGAGGTTAGCCTTCATTTAAGTTTCATGTTAAGCTTTTAAGTGCTGAAAAAAATAAATAAATAAAAATGCATACAGTATATTGCTCACATAAGGACTACTGCACACACACTTTACAGGCAAATGGTTCTTGGTTGAAGCTTTGACCACTAGGATCCATTAGTTGTGCATTACATGGTGAGTGTGAGACGATTGATCAATACAGTTTAGTGCCCGAGGTAATTTGAGCGAGGCAGAGAAGTCGCAGCTCGAAAAGCCTTCAGTCACACTGAAGATCCCTGGAAGACAGAGGAGGTTCTACAGATGGAGGTAAGAAAGACAAAATGCTCCCTATGCAAAACAGATTTTACTTTAAATGTTGTCCTACAAGATCAGGATACAAATATGCTGTTATTAATGCATGCTTATAGTGCATTTAATGAAGAAAATCCAACAGACGGACAATTAACTTCTTTGTGTGGTGGACAAAAGAACGGGAACTGATTCAAATTGTTTGTCTCAGGCCACAAAGGATGCTATGTCAGACCTGGAGAGCTGCATGATCACTATTATCCAAACTTTCCACCAATACTCGGGTCAGAAGTGCAATCTGAAGAAAGCAGACCTTAAAGAACTTATCAACAATGAGATGAATAATTTCATAGTGGTAAGATATCTTCTGCAAAGTGGGTGTGTTTATGACAAGTAATTAGAACAACAATAATAAGCATGCATCAATTTGTTGGCACACAGCACAGTGTGTATTTAAATAAGAAAAAAACTGCACAGAATTTCACAAACATTATTGATGAATTTAAAATTTATACGAGCAAAGCATGTACAACTGACTAAGGTTGCTTGGGGCTATAGTGGATTTTTATTTGCTTCCTTTTCGAGCGTTGACACGCTGCACAGCTGAGTCTCAGAGATGTTAAAAATATATTAGATAACTAACAATTTTCCTTCTATTCCGGTGTAATTAAGATTTAAGCCTAGTAGAGTTAGTGGTGATGCTACAGATTTATCAGTGTTATTAAATATACTGTCCATTTACTGCTAATGATGAACTTTAATGCAATTTTCCTGCTAAACAGAAAATCAAGGAGAATGACACTCTGGATAAACTCTTCGCTGACCTTGACCAGAACGGAGATTTGGAGATCGACTTCAAAGAGTTCATTGCCCTCATTGCCATGGTCACCTCTGCTTGCAATGAACTGTTTATTCCAAAGCAACAGAAATAGTTTGCATGCACATGAATTACTCATTTAAAGAGAGTATTTTTTTTTTTTTTTGTGAGACTGGGAGACTCTTATTAGTCATGCATCGCAGTTTGATACTTTTTGTTAGTATGGAAATGTTTGCTGAATACACTTACCAGTCACTTTATTAGGTACACCTATTCAGCTGCTCATTACACAAATATCTAATAAGCCAATCACAAGGCAGCAACTCAACAGATTAAATTTGTAGACATTGACCTGCTAAGTTCTGTCAGAGAAGAATGGCCAGGTTGCAGATCGCTAACAGGAAGGCAGCAGTAACTCCCTCTTTACAACCAAAGCATAGCATCTCTGAAGGCACAAAATTAAACCTCAAACCTTGAAGCAGATAAACTACAGCAGCAGAAGGCTACTATCAGCTGAGGCCACAACATGCACAGGATCACTAGACTTGGACAACGGAAGCCTGAAAAATGTTGCCTGATCTGATGAGAGTAGATTTCAACTGTGACATTTGGACGGTAGAGTCCGAATGTGATGTAAGCAAGAAGAACTTTTGGATCTATGGATCCTGCAGTTCAGGCTGGTGGTGAAATAGTGAGGGGGATATTTTTTGGCACAGTTTTGGCTATTTACTACCAATTGGGTTTAAACACTACAGCTTACCAGTGTATTGTTGCCGAACCTGTGTATCCCTTTATGACTGCAGTGTACCCATCTCCTGATAGCTGCTTGTAGGAGGAAAACGCAACATGTCATAAAGCTCAGATTGTCTCAGACTAGAATCTTGAACATGAGTTCAGTGTCCTTAAAAGGCCTCCACAGTCACCCGACCTCAATCCACCTTTGGGATGTGGTGGAACACAAAATTTGCATCATGGATGTGCAGCCAACAAATCTGCAGCAACTGTGTGGCACTAACATATCAAAATCTCTGAGGCATGTTTCCAGCACCTTGTTGAATCTGTTTCACAAAGAATTAATGTAGTAATGAAGGCAAAAGAGGGTCCAAACGGACACTACCAATGTATACCTAATAAAATGGCTGGTGAGTTTCTAATATAGCATGCATGGAATATGTATTTGAGAAACAAAAATATATAAATGTATGATACTTCCATATATTTGTCTGTCATTACTAAACATTTATGTTCATCTGACAGAATCGATAAACTACAGCAGTACAGAGACATGTTTAACAGATGCTGCTTCACAACATGCCATCATCTGAAGCAGGGACGTCTTTTTTTTTGTTTTTATTACACACTCCTCTCTCCCCTTGTGAGGAGTCAAAAAGGTGAGGAAAGGAAACGAGGATACACAAACTGAGAAATAGGAGGAAAGGCCAAGCTGACTGGTGCCATCTTTTAGAAAGACAAATAACAGACATGTGTGTACATGTAATGCAATCCAGCTAAGAAAATTAACACCTATACTACTTGTTGAGCAGTATAGGCGCAGCTGTACCTGACAGCCCAACATGTGTGGATCTAAACTGCTGAAAGCTTTCTTTTCCTTTGTACCGTGCAGATTGACTCATACTGGCCCAAATAGTTTTTAAATGAGTTTTATTTATTTATTTATTTTTTTAAACCAAGTTGCACACCAGTTGTAGGACATCTTTCACAGCTCAAACAAATGCAGGATTTCAGAATCATGTTAACGATGGATTATTGGAGATTATGTGGAGATTCACCGCCTCAGATGGGTTTCCATAAACTCTAGGATCCTCTTCCAGGAATCTTCTTGAGCAGCAGCGTGGGGTGCGGGGTGACCTCCCCACAGAGTGAATACTGCAGGGAAGAACAAAAAAACAAAAAAAACCCAAAAACAACAAACTGCAAATTTATTTACCATTATATATGGTATTCTTAATAAAATACAATGGGAGGAAAACTTTAGCTCACATTTCTCTGGTTTGGCTCTCCATAGAGACGCTCTTGCACACGGTGCGTAGGGTGGCTCGATCAGGTGACCGGCGCCGGGATATGACAAACGGGTAAACAGCTGGGATTTACCTGCAGACCTCAGGGCCTCCTCAATCTGATGACCAGTGATCAGAGTAAACAATGAAACAGTGTGCAGTCAGTCCACACAGACAATATACAAAACTGCATTCAGGTGACTATAAATGACTCTGTTGTATTCTTAGAGTGTTTTAATACATTTCAGTAGACATCAAGAGTCTCCAAATAATACATACAGGACAGCATAACATTTAAAATGTAATCTGTAATTGTAATAAAAGTAAAATAAGTTAATTTACCACATCTGCATTCTCTGTGCTTGCAGCACACTGATCGTCTTCACCCACTATGTACATGAGAGGACAGGTGATGTTCTTTACCTACAAAAAGAAAATAAGAGAAAACAAAAAAAAAAAATCAATAATATAGAGCAGAGATTACTGAGCTCTATGCACATGTGCTTCTCTATGCATGTGTGATGGGCAGAGAAAAACCTTCTGTTTGTTCTCAGGGGGCAGATTATCCGGCAGAGAGACATGTCTGAAACTCACATGGCCTCGATCATCGAGCTCCCAATGTTTCTGGTCACTTAAAGAGCAGAACAGGACAGAGATGGTACTGTTTGTTAACACCTACTCATGAAAATCTTAAAAACAGCTATTACTATGTCAGCCCCGGAGTAGACTGAGGATCCTGAACTAGATAAAAGTCCAGGTTACAATTATGTTTTTGGACCACAACATACTTTTGTAAGGTACATCACCACACTGGATTTTAAAGACTCAATATGATTGAAGTTAAGACTTTCAAGTAGAATTCATTAGGTTTTACGAGAGCATTTCATTAACTGTTGCAAAATCAAAACAAATTTACGAGAGAGTTCGCAAAAACCTGCAGCTAAAGTGTATCACAGAATTATTTCCATGGTTAACAAAAAGAACTTCACAACACCTAACCAAGTCAAGATCACTCAACAGATACAGTCGTATCACCGTTAATGCGTGCAATCAGCAGATGGCTTTCATGGGTCAAGATTATTCTGTACCAGAATGACTGGGAAAGAAAAGCATGGCAAGGAAAAGGAAAAAGGTCATGAAATTAAGCATAATATATCATCTGTAATTAAATGTTACCCAGGTCTGACACACTCCACACACCCAATAAAGAGTTTGTTGGGTGCTTGTTAGTTTGTTGCCACAGCAAAGCCAAATTAGTTTAACGGATTTCAAATGATTGTCAATAAATACCCCACAAATGTAGCAGAGTAATTTTCCTAATATGAGCCCTTTCCTAACATATGAGACACAGCGCTGCTATCAAATTCAAACAGACTTCATATTTTTCTCAGTTTAGAGATTTTCTTTGCTCCATTGTGACTAAAGTAGGAGTTTATGAAATGTGCAAATCATTGCACCAACTGTTTTGGAATTGGGTCTGTATATTGCACTTAAAGCATACTGTAAACACATAATTTCACTGAAACTCAACATAACCTTGCCCCAATCAGGTTCACCATAAGTTACCACCATGATTTATCCAGATTAAAAGAGAGCCACAAAGTACACTATTAAAATCAGTCCTTATATTTAAAATTTGTTAGACTGCCCATCTTAATGTGGGATTTTGTTAAAAATCCAGTGGAGAGGTGTACAGAGGCCACGCTATCAAAATAAAAAGCATCACTGTCCAGAGTAGAATCTAAAGTAACCAGCCATTACCTCTCAATCGTTTTGGTCTTGCCATCTTCATCTAACAGCGGGCTTCCTACTGGCCCGTTAATACAAATCAAACATGATGGCTGGAAAGGGGAACAAATGAATGTTAACGTCATTCATAATTGCCTGTCTATCAGATTTGTATTTTTCATATGCAAATAACAATGTGATGATCATACGGCAGATTTCAAAACAGGTGAGTTTGGGACGCACTTTAACACCAATCCTAGTGGCGATGCGAAGGGTCAGGCAGACTCCAAAGGAGAGGCCAATGACCCCAACTCTGTCTGCATCGACCTGACAGTGATCTTGAAGGAGCTGGAAGGCTGACTGACCAAACAAAATAAATAGGGACATTTTAAGAGAGTGACAAAAACATTACAAACAAATACAAGGCTGTTAGGTTAAATCCAGTGCTTATACACTGAAACTCGGACAAAGTTATCCTACTTTGAAATACAAATCGCCAACACTCATTATGTCTGGTGGTCCAGGTAAGTCTTTGTGCCCCATGTAGGCAACAGAAAGACTCGCAAATCCCCTGGAGGCAAAAAGTGCAGAGCGGTACTCCGACAGTCCTCCACCCATTCCCCACAGATCCAGCATAGCAGAAAAGGGCCCGGGCCTGCAGGAAATCAGCATGTGAAGTTCAGTGACTGCTGACTAAGGCACTGTCAATAAATGCCACTTCAGTGACCGCTCACCAGGAGGTAAGAATAATGTTCCTACGATTTTGTTCTGACGAATCTCTATTCTCCTCACTCCTGGCGCCATGTACCAGCGCTCAACGGTTACAGCTGCCAGCTCAGTGCTCTGCCCCTCACTGGGTGAAGTGTGGCCCTCCAGTAAGGAGATGTTCACTATGTATGGCGTCTCCACGTTTCTTTTCCTAAGCCTGTGATCAGCATTTACATTTACACAGAGAAAGAAGCAGTCAGTGAAGCCAGAAATGTAGAATGAATGAAAGAATCCTTTAGCTGTATTTTTAAGTGCGCAACATAAGAAGCAGCTGGATTTGAAACCTGCCTCAGAACTTCTCTGCTTCCGAGTGCGGGCTCCAAAGCCCAGAAGAGTCCCATCGGCTCACAGCCTAAATAAGAACCTCCAACTGAATGATCGCTGGTCACTATTCAGGTAAGAACAGAGACAAAAATAAAATTAAACACTGCCTGCATAAAAGCCTGGTTAATATCTCTTCACACAATCCTTACTGTCTCCCTGTTAAAAGGGAGTCTGATTATTTTCTTTCTACAATATAAAGTGCCTTGAAGCTACTGTTGATAAGAAATGGCGTGCACAATATAAATAAAATAAAATTGAACTGAATTGAATTAATATAACATGACTGCCACAGGATGTCTCCACAGTAAACACATTAAATATTAACCTGTGACTTTTATCAATAATTACTTGCAGCTTGCAGATTAAAATGACAAACACTTTGTTCAATTTAATTTCAGCATGTTTGTTTTTTGTTCCATTTTGTTTTTAAATACAATAAAAATGTCAAACTCTGCCACCGGCACAGTGAGCATCTCAACATTATTGCCCTGCGTATATGCCCCACACGCCAGCTGCTTTTGTTTATGTGGACATCTATATATTACAGAAACTGTCTACTATGTCACCCAACAGCACTTAGGAGTATTTCACTCACAGTTGATGCTCTTGCTCGCATTTGTTGTATAATGAGCAAACGCCTCCCACAGATCTCCCTCCTCACTGTGCATTTGTGCGCACACTGTGACAGGATAATTTTGAGACAGGAAATGCCCTTTAATGCTGATCTGTTCATCTATGAGCGCACGACCAGGAGCGGCTGTCAGCAAAGGGCTTTGTCTAAAGCTGCTCTTCCTCCGAACTTCACCTGTTAAAAAAACAAACATATATATATATATA